AGGTGTGAGATCACCTCCCGGGAGTACTGCGACTTCATGAGGGGCTACTTCCACGAGGAGGCCACGCTCTGCTCTCAGGTAGGCCTTCGGGGTGTGTGCGTCCCCTCGCCCCCCGCCACGGAACGCGCTGACCGGCCACTCTGCACAGGTGCACTGCATGGATGACGTGTGCGGGCTCCTGCCCTTCCTCAACCCCGAGGTGCCCGACCAGTTCTACCGCCTGTGGCTGTCCCTCTTCTTGCACGCTGGGCAAGTGACACCAGATGGGCCGAGGAGGGTTGGGTGGCCTCAGGGACCCCAGGAGTGGCTGGCCAGGGGACGATGGAGCGGAGGCCTGCCCAGCTGAGCGTCCCCTCCCCCCACAGCATCCTGCACTGCCTGGTGTCTGTCTGCTTCCAGATGACTGTCCTGCGGGACCTGGAGAAGCTCGCAGGCTGGCACCGCATAGCCATCATCTACCTGCTGAGTGGCATCACTGGTAACCTGGCCAGTGCCATTTTCCTGCCATACCGGGCAGAGGTAAGGCCGCCCCAGGGACCCAGCCTAGGAGCGTCTCCATTCGGCTCCTCAGTCCTGCTATGCTCTGGGCCATGAGAGGTGGGGTGGCTGTGGGTCCAGGGTCCAGCTCAGCACCCCTACCGCCCCCAGGTGGGCCCGGCCGGCTCGCAGTTTGGCATCCTGGCCTGCCTCTTCGTGGAGCTCTTCCAGAGCTGGCAGATCCTGGCCCGGCCCTGGCGTGCCTTCTTCAAGCTGCTGGCGGTGGTGCTCTTCCTCTTCACCTTCGGGCTGCTGCCCTGGATCGACAACTTTGCCCACATCTCGGGCTTCATCAGCGGCCTCTTCCTCTCCTTTGCCTTCCTGCCCTACATCAGCTTCGGCAGGTTCGACCTGTACCGGAAGCGCTGCCAGATCATCGTCTTCCAGGCGGTCTTCCTGGGCCTCCTGGCCGGCCTGGTGGTCCTTTTCTACTTCTACCCTGTCCGCTGTGAGTGGTGCGAGTTCCTCACCTGCATCCCCTTTACCGACAAGTTCTGTGAGAAGTATGAGCTGGACGCCCAGCTCCACTGAGCCGGTGGGGGCGCTGGGGCCATGGGCCTCCAGCAGGCTGGAGCCAGGCACTGCCCACCGAGCCTCACGCCACGGGGCTGTCAGCAGGCCCTGGGGCGTCCTGCCCGTTTCCTGGACACAGACCTCTTGTGCCTCGTTCACTGCTGTTGAACCTCTCGTACTTCCGGGCATTTATCACACTAGTTCCTGTGGTTACCTTCTAACTAGTCTGACGACCACCTCGTGGCCAATAAATGGACTGGGAGCGTTTTAGCTGCCACTAACTGACCAGAGCTGCCACCTCCTTTCTGACAGGAAGTGTCTCAGACTCCTCCCCAGGGAAGTCCGTAAGCCAGGTGGACCCACCTCGCTCCCTAAGACCCATGGAGGAGGGGTCTCGTTTCCCCACACACACTTACAAGGGCCCCAGCTCCAATTTCAGCCCCAGGCTACCTCCCCTTCCAGGAGCCGGGAGGGCCTGAGTGGATGAACCCCGCGGGCTGAGGCGGGAGGCCGGCCATGGCTGTGCTCTTGCACACAGGTTCCCCACAGGCTCCCGTTTCTCCACAAGCAGGGACAGAAGCCAGCTGCTCTGCTGTTTTTTTTCTTGCTGTAGAGCTCAGTCACAGGGTCGTGTGGCATCGTAGACTCAGGCCATTCTCTGCCCCTTACCCCCCCCCCACACACACACACATGATGGGGCTGCGCCAGGCCCTCATGTCCCAGTACTGTGGCTTTTTGACTTTTCAAACTAGAAAGCAAAGAGATTTATTCCGTACAGAGGGCCAGGCCCACAGCCTGTGGGATCGGCTGTGCAATTAGGGTGTTTGGGCCCAGAAGGGGTCAAACTTGGGTCTTGACACTGGCTCCCCAGTCCCACTCCCGAGGCCCGGGGCTCACACCGGCAGTGCCAGCTGTGCCCAGCTGTGCCAGTCCATCCCAGCACTCTCCTGTGAAGAGGGGACAGTGCCCGAGGCGTCCTCCCGCTGGGAAGGAGCTTGGCCACCGGCACAGAGTGTCCCTGTTTGGAGGGTCATTTCTGCCTCAGTTTTTTGATGAAGGACACCTCATCCCGATTCCGGATACCATAGCTGGAAGAGAAGGAGAAGTGTCCAGTATCTAACTACAGAGGCTGTCTGACTCCTCACCTGGGGCTTGTGAGAAACCAGGCAGGAGCAGGTGGGACGAGTGTGGGGTCCAGGAAGGCAAGGCGGGGCAGTGCCACCCTCCCACAGGCCCCTGCCGGGCCAGCAGGCAGCCTTCTCCTCCGCACACTCTTCCTCCCTCTTTCTGCCTCTGGGCCCTGACCTGCCACGCCCTGCAGCTCAAGGGAGCGGCCTGAACTTACTCCCGGAGCTTCTTCCTGTCGTCTGTGAGCTTCTCTCCCGCAGAGGTTAGATGGTACGTCCTCCACACATAGGACCTGCGCGAGAGGGATTCAGGGAACCCGTGAGCGGGGGGAGCCGAGTGGCTGGGACGTACTATAGAAGCTGTGTGAGAAGGGCTCTCGGTGCGCAGCCCCAGCCCCTCGGCACAGAGCACCAGCCCGTCTGAAGGATTGCGGCAGGAGCTGGCTCTTCGCTCCCGTCAGTACTTGTAGCAGAGACCGGGTGATTGAGAAGCACGAATCCAGCGCTGCTCCTGCAGAGCCCCACACCACCCCCAGGGAGGGCTGCAAGGAGCCGTGGCTTCACCTACCAGCTGATGTGCTGGATGCCACCCTCGCGCTCCTGCCGGAGCTGCACGTATCGCTGGATGGCCTTCTTCAGGTCCAGGACCGTGGCGTTCTGCACCACAACCACAGCTGCAACAAGGGGCACCCGTGAGAGAAGATCCCGTAGCCACAGCCACAGCCATAGCCACAGCCACAGCCACAGCCTCAGGTGGTGGGAGGGGAACCCAGAAGCCCTGTCCAGCCTTGTTTCTGACTGCGGCTCAGGTCCAGGCGGATGGGCTTGTGGATGGCCGCTCGGTGTCCCGCTGGCCAGCCCCTGTGGAGGCTCAGCCTGCCTGGCCGGGAGGGAGGAGGGCAGCACTTACGCATGACTTCTCCATCCATCTTGCACACGCGGACTGTCATTGCTTGGCCATATTCCAGGGCTATTTGGGAATTGACCTCTTCCAAAGTGACCTAGAAAAGACCCAGGGTGGAGGTGAGTGCCTGGCTCCGTAACACCCCAATCAGCAACAAGGAATACGCTGCGAGTGCCCAGAATGTGGTGCCATATTTTAGGAAGGACAAGAACGGGGAGTCTTGCTTACATATTAGGGCAGCGGTTCTCAACCTGTGGGTCGCGACCCCTTCGGGGGTCGAACGACCCTTTCACAGGGGTCACCTAAGACCATCGAAAACACATATAATTACATATTGTTTTTGTGATTAATCACTATGCTTTAATCATGTTCAGTTTGTAACAATGAAATTGGGGGTCACCACCACACGAGGAACTGTATTGAAGGGTCGCGGCATGAGGAAGGTTGAGTACCACTGTATTAGGGCTTCCCAGTTTCTTAGCACCTTGAGCTCATGTTTCATCCACATTTCCTATTTAAAGTCCAAAGTGGACGGAAGCGTGGAAGAAAGGAACACAGACACAGGCAAGAACCAACAGCCCGGGATCCTCTCACCCAGGGGCTGGGTAGGAGGAGCACTGTGCTTGTCATTCATCCCGAGCCCCGATCACCCATCAGGACCCAGACCAGGGCCTCGGGACAAGGTTTTGGCAGGCGTGCAATAACAAACGCTGTAATACAATTTTTAAGAAAACAGAAGTTAAACTCCATGATGGACAAAATAACATTGAAGTTTGAGATGGGAAAAACCAGTAATACTGACATACTCTTTTATTATTTTGCTTGCCACAGGCTTTTTTACACCAACGTGAGTTATAAACATACTGTATTAAAATGTCATGTATCCCCGAAAGAAAAAAAAAAGGCATGTATCCTGGCTGCTGGAGGGGTCTCGAGCCTTTTAAATCTCGAGCGAGAGCCTCGCTCGCCCCATCCCGCGGCCCGGCCCAGGTTAGGACCTCCGTTTACACCCAGAGGTGCCTTACGAGGCCTCTGGGTCGCAGCCCTACCAGCCCCGGGACTTGTCCACGCCCCTCGCACAGCCCGGCAGGGGACGCGCCCACCTGGATGGGCAGGTCGCAGAGCAGCGGGTCCTGCACCACCATGGCGAGACCCTCCTGGAACACGTCCACCGCCTCGGAGTGCGGCAGCGCCTCCTCTTCGTCTTCATCGTCCTCACGCGCCTCGGGCCGTGCCCCCCCCGCCTCCGCCTCCGCCTGCGCCTCC